AACACTGACTGATGCATACCTGCAGCGGCACAAAACATGAAGGATCTTCAAGGAAGCCATACCACACAAGGCTACAGAACAAGGAGAAGAAGAAGACGAAGACGAAGACGAAGAAGAAGAAGAAGAAAAAGTGGTAGAAGAAGAAGACATATAAAAAGAAGTTATGCAGTGCCGAACTTGCTCTGGGGAGTTTGGGATCACCATTCCTGTTCATAAAATGAAACTCTCTCTCTCTCTCTCTCTCTCTCTCACACACACACACACACAGACACACACACACACACACACACACACACACACACACACACACACACACACACAATTGTCCTTTGATCCCTTAATCGGAGTGGCATGGGCTCATCCCCCCATCAAGTGACCGCGGGGGACTGTCGTCACTGTCCGGGTCATCGTCACTAATGACATGCTTCTTGCGAGCATTAGTGTTGCGGCGCCCGTGCTGCAACGCAGTCTTGTCGACTGCCTTTTTTTTTCTGGGCCTTCCACGGCCACGTCGGGGCGCTTCGGGGGACTCCGTTGTTGCCTTCCTCTTCCTGCCTGCCCTGCTCTTCCAGAGGTTGTCATGGTGGAGAGCATCGTTGAATTTAGGGAAAGGGGGCGTGCCGATGTCCTTTGCGGCCTGCTGCTCTTCCAGCTGCTCCTTCCCCCTCTCGCCAATTGCAACCTGCTGGTCGGTCGTCTCCCTCCACTCCCACTTGTTGCTCCACGCATGGGCGGAGCCTGCGCGTGTACGCGGCAATTGGTGCTTGCTGTTCTTCCGCTGCATGTGCAGGCTCCCCTTGCTGCTGCTCGCCCTTCTCCACGGCAGGCTGGACATCCCCGTCCATTTCCTTCAGGGCCTCGCCCCCGCGCTTTTCCTGCTGTGCAACATTCCTCTCCCTCTCCCTGCGTGTAGGGATCGCTGCACGACGGGCCTCCTCCTCAGCGACCCGCCTCTCCACAAGTTCACGATCCCTGTCCGCCATCTCCTTCGCTCGGGTGGCCTCTTCCTCGTCCGGGACATCGTGGCGGTGCAACAAAAACTCTACATCCGTGTCCACTCTCTCGACGACTGGCGTAGGCTCAAGCTCGAGCTCCCTGTCCTGTGGCCTTGTTCGCCTGCCGAGGTACGTGGTCGTTGGGACTGCAGGCACCACACCGAGCTCGAAATCGGAGTCCTCGTCCTCGGTGCAATCCTCCGATGATGACTCATTCCAGCACTTCCCCTTCCACACCATATCCTCGAGGTCGCTGCTGTCACTAGTTTCGGAATCGAGAAGGTTTTGGGGGATCCTGTTTTTTGAAGCCTTCGCCATGTTTCTTTGCCTCATCTCCTCATCCTCTTTTTCAGCAGCATCCTGAGTGCCAGTTTCCAGCGTGGACCCGTCATTCTGTTCTGGCTCCATGATTGGCTCGAAGAACGAACCCCAGACATCAACGAACCCGCTATCCTTGTGGTGTCGAGCTCGCAGCAACTGCATGTTCCAGTGTATGTACACGAGCTTCTCGAGGGATGCTGGGGACAAACTGTTTCGTCTCTTCGTGTGGACAAAGTCCATGGAGGCCCAGTTGCGCTCAGCGGGGGTCGCAGTGCTCCACATCCCCATAACCTTGATTGCAATTCCCTGAAATGTTGGGACATCCCCGCCATGTGCTGCCCACCAGGTCGCAGGGTTAAGCCTCCTCACATCGTCCACCGCCGGTTGTTTCCACATGTGCTCATCCTTGCGCTTCTTCATAGCTTTCCCGGGCTCCGTGCACACTTGCTCGGTCGCAACCCTCGCGGGCTCTTTTTTGAACTCCATCAACTCCGCCCACAAGTCAGAATGTTCCTGGCTGTTCCACTCACCCACAATCTGCCTCAAGAAGTAGCGCATTGCATTTTGCATCACTGCACTGTTCTGATCGAAGAGCCAGCGTTCATTCCGCCGCCGTGGATCAAGAATGAATGCAGCTGCATGAACCGACTGCCTCATCATTTGCACGCGGTCACGCACCTTTTCCATGACATCCTCCCGCTCCTTCTGTGTCAGCACCACGTTCGTCAATTTTCGCTGAATCATATCATCGTACTCAACAAGATTGGTGGGAGGTGTGCCTTCTGCGTCCATTCTCTTCAGCAACTGGAAGATAGGGTGCATGATGTCCACAATCTTCCTCACATGCGGCCACCATGCCTCTGACCTCACTGTGTAGTACACGAGGTCGGCTCTCCTACGCAACCTCTCCCCCGACCATCTCAATGCTCTCCACTTTGACGCCGCCCTCCCATCCACCATCGTGACAATAACATCCTCTCTGTCTGCTAGTCGTTGAAGCATCTAGTACACAGATCCGAACCGCACTTCTGTCGGACGAAGTAAGGACAACGAGTCATCGACGATCATCATCAAGTCGTGTGTGGCGTGATGATTCCGGATGAACTTGACGATTGTGTTYGCGKTTTTCACTRTGCCCTTGATCCACGACAGGTTGGCCAAATCCTTGAGAAGGAGACTGCAGCAGTGTGCCCCGCAAGGRACCCACGRAATTCTCGCCACGTCCTTGTCCTTGCGCCGTTCTAGGATYTGCRCCGCCTTCTTGTTAACTTYGGCGTTGTCGGTGCAGATCGCGTTGATGCGTTGCAGTCCAATCTCCCTCATTACCTGCTCCCATAACTTCGCCAACGCCACTGCATTCTTCTTCCTGCCACTCATTGTCACCGTCGTCACGAGCACCGCCCCTTGTTCCCCCGCCGCCAAGAAGTTCATCACTGACCGATTCTTGCGGTCAGTTGACCCGTCAGTGATGAACGTGCATCCAGTCGAGTCCCAACACCTCGTCATCGGGTTCACCTCCTTTTGGATCTTCAAGTAGATGATGTCCAACATGACTGTCCTCATGTAGTTGTATGATGGTAGCTTCACTTTCGGCCTCGCGTTCGCTACCTCCAGGTAAACGGCATGCAACGTCTGAGTCGTGTCCATGTTCAAGAAATTGAAAGCAATGCCAGCCCTGAACATGGCCTCAGCCCACGCAATGTCCAGCTTTTTCTGCGCCGCAGTGTCCACCCAACGTCGCACAGTGGTCTGTCTCAAGGTAATCGTTCGTGCTGTTGACCCTTGCCCTTCCTCACCGCCTCCGCTCTCCACTGCACCTCCCGCGTCGATAGCCTCATCAAGTGCATCGGCGAGCATGTTTGCAATGCCGGCAACTGCCCGCCCTGCAACAGGCGGTGGCTGGGGCTCGTCTGTTTGCGGATCTTCCAAACCTTCCTCTCCATGTGATGCATCACCACAATGCACATCCGATTCGGCCTCGCCTCCCTTGTAATTCCTCAACAAGTACTTCGTGTTCTTGTCGTTAGGCTGCACTTTCGCACCACCAGCAACCAAAGTGTGGACTATATCCCCTGTCCGCAGTGCACACAGCCTCATCGGCTTCAAGAAATGCTCGGCAGCCTTGCTTGCCGACCCCCTCCAGATTGTCGAGCACAACCTGCACCTGACCCAATACTCCCCCCTCCCTTTCAATGTGGCTACCTCCTGTCCCTGCTCACACCAGAGCCAAACCTTGTTTTTCTTTCGCAGCGCAACATGATCCGACTCACTCTTCGCCTGAAACAAGCTTGCGTCGGTTCCAGGGGTGGGCTCCTTTCCCCCGCCAACTGAAGTAGCCAGTGCAGATGTCGTCCTTCGCGTACTCGATTCAGGCTTGTCAACAACAGGCACTGCAGGTCCTTTAGCCTTTGCCGCTGTCGTTGCTCTTCGCCAGCTGCCTCATTCTTCGCCGCCCCCCATCATGGCCACCGGTGAGATATGACAAGAAGAAGAAGGAGGGAGAAGAAGAAGAAGAAGAAGAAGAAGAAGAAGAAGAAGAAGAAGAAGAAGAAGAAGAAGAAGAAGAAGAGGAAGAAGAAGAAGAAGAAGAATCCATCCATCAATCAATCAATCAATCAATCAATCCAACAATCTATCCAATCCGATCCAATCAATCAATCAATCAATCAATCAATCAATTCAATCAAACAATCCATCAGTCAATCAATCAGTCAATCGATCAAACAATCCATCAATCAATCAATCAATCAACCAATCAATCAATCAATCAATCAATCAATCGCCTCCCCACCACCCTCTCTCTCTCTCTCTCTCTCTCTCTCTCTCAATCAATCAATCAATCAATCAATCAATCAATCAATCAATCAATCA